AACTTAAACACAGTCTGCCAAGCTAAATATATACAAGCGTGCTCGCCTCAAAACTCCACCAAATGCATATCACAGCTCAAGAAAAGTCAAAACGGTCGGGAAGGACAACAGGCGCCACCAAAGTCCACGTATACATGCCGTAGCAAACCCAGGCACTAACAATCTTGACCCAGCTCGCAGCGTAGGTACGGCCAACGGTCGCAAAGTCACCATCCTTGGTAGATTCGTCAAAGTTCATGGTGAGTAGAGTAGCCACCCAGGCAGTGGCCAAGAAGAAGATGATGTGGAACACTGAGTAACTGTACTGGGTCCTGTTTCGCTCGTCATCTCCTGCAGGGGCGTCCCCAGCATCACTTTCGTCATCGGACAGCAGGGCGTCAGCTGGGAGGCTGCCTTCTTCGACAGCTCGACGCAAAGCCTCAGCTCGCATTTCCCGACGAGCACTGGGCTGTTGGGTCACAAGTCCGTGCTCATCGTCGTCGGGCAACTGTATTCCATTCGAGTTGCCAAGTCCGAGACTCTGGGTTGCGGCTCGTGTGGTAGTGTAAGCAATAGTGAGTAGAGTGACAATTGCACCAATAACGATAGAGGTTGCTCGTGTTCCCTGTCCCTGAATAAGAGGGTTGCACTCGTTGTTCGGCTCCATTGACACAGCTGACATAGTCAAGTATGTGCAGTAGACGGCAACCATAGCAGCTTGAGCAAGTCCCGCCTTGGGATTGAACTCTTGAACAGTAGGGTTGACGGAAATGACCGAGATTCCGAGCCATAGAATCAGATTGATGGTGATCACAGCCTGGTTCATAGAGCATGAACCGCGAGCAAAGAATATGTACTGCACAATAGTCATGGCAAGCGATCCGATATACATGCCGAGAGTAGAGCCAATCAGAACGAATCGCCAAACTCTTGAGTCAGTATCCTCGATCTGAGCCAAGCAATACTCAGCCCAGTTGTGAGCTAGGTCAACAAGCAAGATGAGTCCGAGTAAAAGGAACAGCATGGCTGCGGCGAAAGCAATGTAATTGCCCCAAAACAAGAAGAAGCTGTCAGGAATCAAAAAGGAGAGGACAACAAAGGCGAGCCATGCGATAACCTTGGGGCCCCAGTAGCCGTTCTGAATAGCAGCACGGGGGTTTTTCGAAGTTGCGACACCAAATAGTAAACCAGCAAGGATGAGATGGAAGAGACCAAGCGCAAAATTAATTCGGTGAACCGCGAACCAGCCATGGCATTCACCAGTCGGACAATTAATCGTAACGTAGTCGAGGGTAAGTTTCTGGAGTTTCTTGATGGCCCAAGGCGTGAGCATTATCCATGCGATGATCGAGTTGACGAGGAGGAGGAGCGCGTATGCGATACGGGTTGCGATACTATTGCCGCATTTGCCGCAGGCGCTACAGACCATAGAGCAGGTCGCAGCGCCGCAACAGCTGGCAGCAAAGGAAGCAATCTGATGAAATTATTAGCGATCGCAGGAGAGGATGATTGGAAAGGATGGGTAACATACGGTACCAATGCTGGGTACCGCCAGAAGCGGCAAAGACAAGAGGGCACCCATTGCGACGGCGCGCGACGAGGTTGTGGACGTCTAGTTGAAGTCGGGATTGGTGGATTTTTGGTATACAAAGGTTTCGTGAGAGATGAAGCAAAGCACAGAGACCAGAACCGGTGGCGTGAATCACCTTTTAGAACGGTGCTTGATCTGTCTAGGTAGAGCCTCTAGAGGATGTTGGAGATGGCAGGATACATGAGGCTACAATCAAAGAGCGTCCACGTGAGATTATGTCGTCAGGGAAAGCCGAAGAACGGAGGGGGGTAGGTACTCCGAGTTGTGGCTTGGCATTCGAGAATGTGGCTGTCCCCGGCACCAGGCCCCAGTATCATGCATAGCCTTCCTAGGTATGTACACACAAGGGCTAGTCCCGGGATCTTCTCCGCGCTCAGTTGTACAGTTCGTCCCTGACTCCCTGTTATCATTGATCAATTACTAAATCAATCAACTTCCCTCCACTCCCGTCCCGACTACGTGAGCGAGCCACGAGATGCTCCATAGTATTCGTCTCCCCTAACTAACCCATTTGTTCCTGACCTTATCAATATCCTAAATATTCCTTTGTACCTTACTTACATTAGCCACGTGTGCTACGTTGGGTACTCTTCTTACATCAGGAGTTTCCTATCTCTCTCTTTCTGTCCTCCCCATTATCATCCAGCAAATTGGGTCAGCATCATCCTCGCTGGCCAAATGTTAACTTTTAGTTCATAGAAGCGCGTCCCCTCATCTTCAAACTACCTACCTTAGATCATATTCAGTCACTCGACTATCATTTACTTAGCCTTATTCATTTTGTTTTTTGTCGTCAAGATGCATCAAGACCAGCAACAAAGCCTCTTTCAGGCCCGTATTATTGCCAGCGTCGCAGCTACTATCTTATCCCTGGCTTGCGGTACCAATGTTGGTCTTTTTTCAGCAGCTGTATCATTGTTGAGTAAGGTATCTAACGGCAACTTATAGTATGTCTACTCAGCTTGGGCTCCGCAATTTGCGGAACGACTCAAGTTGTCGTCTACAGAGAGTAACCTGATCGGCCTGGCTGGCAACCTGGGAATGTACACCCTGGGAATGCCCATCGGTATATTCGTTGACCATCGTGGTCCTCGGCCTGCTGTCCTTGGTGGAGCTATATTTATGCTCTTTGGCTACTTTCCACTGCATCAAGCCTACCATCGTGGATCAGGATCAGTCATGTTGATGTGTCTCTTCTCTTATATGACCGGCTTAGGTGGTTGTATGGCATTCGCTGCTGCTGTCAAGACGTCTGCTCTCAACTGGCCCAACCATCGGGGAACCGCCACAGCCTTTCCTCTGGCTGCCTTTGGTCTAAGCGCCTTCTTTTTCTCCTTCATAGGCGCAGTCTTCTTCCCTGGAGACCCCAGTGCTTTCCTCGAGCTTCTTGCTTGGGGCACATTTGGCCTTACTTTTGGCAGCTTCTTCTTCCTCAAGATCCATCACGAACAAGCTGAGTATGAGGCTGTACCTGCTTCGGACGAAACCCCAAGTATTCCATCTACCGACCCCCAACAACTCCGGCCAGGCTCCTCCGATGAACCAAAGCCCTACCGCTCGTCTCGAGCAGAGGACGAACCCGGTATGTTGACTAATTCCAGTAGTAATAGCACCAGCACCAGCACAATTAGGAGCTCCCTCGCACCCGCTGTAGCATCCTCATCAACCGCCCCCGCCAACGCCCCAGATCCGACGGGCTCTCCTGGAATATCATTTGCGCCTGAATTTGGCCTTGTGGTCGCCCCCGAGAATCCCGAAGACCTCGAGGTCGGCGAGACGTCCCCCTTGATATCTCGAGCCGGACATCCCCCTCTTGGAAACAGTGATATTAATAGCGGTGGATCTCATCATGTAGACATCCGGGGTCTTGCTCTCGTGCGCAGTGTCAGTTTTTGGCACCTTTTCGTCATCATGGCTATTTTGGCTGGTGTTGGTCTCATGACCATCAAGTATGATTAGCTCCCATCGCTTTTCGGATTGCTCAGCTGACCATGTCTCAAGCAACATCGGTAACGACGCCAAGGCTCTTTGGAAACACTACGACAAAAATGTTTCTGACGAATTTCTCGTTCATCGACAACAAATGCATGTATCGACTCTCTCTATTTGCAGTTTCTTGGGTAGACTATTGAGTGGTGAGTCGCATGACAACCCTGGGCTTGTTTCCCTAGTTCTAACCATAGGCTTTAGGCGTGGGTTCTGACTTTTTGGTGAACAAGCTTCACGCCAGCAGACTCTGGTGTCTTGTCGTCGCTTGCGCAGTCTTCATCTTCGCTCAAGTGTGCGCATTGAATATTGAGAACCCACAACTCCTCGGGCTGGTCTCTGGCCCATCAGGACTCGCCTATGGATTCCTATTTGGCGTTTCCCCTTCTCTCGTCGCCGAAATGTTTGGTGTCCGAGGATTAAGCCAGAACTGGGGCTTCTTGACCATGGCTCCCGTTATTTCGTCCAACATTTTTAACATCTTTTATGGAAAAATCTATGACCAGCATAGTGTTGTTGGACCAGACGGTGAGCGTTTCTGCTCAGTTGGACTCGAATGCTATCGCTCTGCTTACTGGGTTACCCTCATCTCCTGCTGCGCGGGAACGGGTATCACTCTTTGGGCGATCCGTCACCGGCATAACAAATATCTAAGAGCAATGGACAAAGGTGATGAAGAGGATTAGGAGTGCTCAACTGTGGCATGCGTCGAAGTTTGTGACTTTTGCCTCATCCCGGTAGCATTCCACTAGATCGTACTTGGAGCTTCAACGGCGTTTATGAAGGATTACTCTCCTGAGCTTGGGTTTGCAGTTGGGACGTTAGACGAGAAGATAGACTGGCGTTTCAATTTCACAATTAGGCAATAACTTGAACGTTATCATGGAGAAAGTCTCATTGCAGATTTACATTAAATCAAAGTTGACTGTTTCATGATTGATGATGCCTTGTTCACATATCCAAGGCCTTATTTCACAGTCATCAAAACGAGGCTCGACATTAGAATTATTCCACCATCCTGCCATTTCTAAAAATGGCAGCGTTTGAACAAGAACCAAAGCCAAAATGGGCAAAGGTGACTGACGACCTGCAAATGAAGCCAGGCGCTTCCAACATTCCCTTTATTGTGCCATCTACCCATAAAACGCCGAAAACAATGCTCATATCGTGGCCTGGTGCCGAAAGGAGGCGTATAACGCTGTCCATCCGCAGATGCTCAGCAGACGTTGATTCCAGAACCATGCAAAATAAATAGGTATTACCGGGCAAGCCCGCGCTGCAAACCAACCAGGAAGAATAGTAATTCGTGGGAACAGAAAACAAAGTAGGAAGTGTATGGTTCGCCGAATGGTCGTGCCTTGTACAATGCTACGCGATGATACGCACAAAAGCGTGGCAACACGAGACATTGTGATCCACAGGATGATCATGGTCATCGAGTCCTTCATAAAGAAGTTTTGGACTTTTTGTGTTCCTCCGTTGGGCTGCTTTCAAAAATCGCGCCGAGTCCGCTTAGGGAGAAGGGGTCCTTAGTAGAATGCAACACGACTAGCCAAGCAGCAATGATGTTCACCAAGTAGTGAAGCATATACGCGTGAGAGATCCCATACATGGCGGCGTAGAGCGCTGTCGCGAAAAGAAGCAGGCTTGTTACATAACCAAAAAGTCTACCAACTTGGGGTACCATCTTGCCTGTTGTCAGATTCTCCACAAGAAGGATGAAAGGCATTATTGAAAGAACATTATGGTGTGAAGAAAATGGCGTGAGCCAATGAACAGCCAAGTTGCGAATCCATACTGCTAGGATGGGTAGGTTGATCGGGAGAATCCACAGCATTAGAAGCAGGACAGAGTGTGCATAGTGGTAGTAATTCGAGTTTGCATCCGAAGGGGCATTTTCGTTGATACGAAGAGCTCGTATCACCGTGAAAAGCTGCACCAGGCATGCCACCAGGTAGGCAAATTGGTAGGGAATGAATGTCCAGACGAGGAACAGCAGAATGGCTGTAGTGATCATGCGCCTCTTGGGAGTTGACGGGACAAATGCAGGTGTTCTCGCCACTCCATCCTCTTCAACTCCGCTTGAGAGGGAGAGTAGGGTTAGAGCCCAATAAAGGACGCCAAGGACGTGCGTGAAGACTTTGGTCACGTAGTGAACCATGGCACAAACACCAATGCAAACGACACCAATCAGGGGAACAAGAAACCAGAAGAAGGGATCGTCCGTCCCAATAAGAATGTCGTGGCGATGAAAGTCAATGGATAAGGGCGCAGCAGGCGCTTGGAACCACCATCTGCCGAACCAGGTAGCTGGAACCCCTTCCATTGACATCGACAAGAGCGTCAGTGATACGAGCAGTAGCGGTATCGACTGACGGAGACACAAATCCAGACTCTGTGAGAATGAGATGAAAACTCCTGAGCTGTCGTAAACACGGAACTGCTTGCGCAAAACGAGAGCAACAGTTAACATAGGGAAAGCGGCAAAGACGGTCCGGTACCTCATGTAGAGCTTGCCGAGGCTGCCCCAGAAATCAGGCTTGATTTGAAGGTGAATATTTGAGCCGCATGAAGGATCTGTCCAAACTTGAAAGGAAACCCCCTTTTCAGCCCCAGATTCCAGCGACGGAGGGAGATAGGGAGCCACGCCATGCAAACTGACATCGACAGACTGAGCATTGACAAAATACTTGGACTCGTATGGCCGATCAAGATATTGTCGGACCAAAGGGCTGAAGAGGGCCTTTTCAGCTTGGCAATGGGGACTTGTGATTTCCAGCTTGTAGGCAAGAAGAGCCGACTGCAACGAGGCGATGTTGACCTCTGTAGTCAGAGGCCGGTTTGCAGGCAGGTCCACGGTGATTCCAGATAAAAGTAGTTTCGCTAGACTAGTGTCTTCTTTCTTCGAAAACGCAGACTGATCGCTGAACTCGGCAATCAAGAAACTGCGCGTGCTTGAAACAGACTTCTCTATAATAGCCACAAATTGGTGATCGGGCAGCTGGTCGAGATCATATTGAAGGTATGAGAAAGGGACAATTTCTCGCTCTCGGTCGAGGTAGAAAGGATATCTAGACGAGGCTGTGGACGCAGGCAGCAGAATCCGGTCTGAAGCAGCGTTCTTACAAGCAAGCCTGGTCGAACCACCATCGTCGGTTGAGAGATCAATTTGGAATGGATATAGCGATGTGGCTTGCCCAGACTGGAAGGGGAATACGCTGCAGAACAAGACTTCCAACTTGCCATTTTCACCAGCTTCGTCTAAAGCAGCATCCGTAAGAACAGTGAATCGTCGGACCTCGGGAGATCCCTGCGGTGGGATGGGAAGCAGATGAGCTCGAGGCTTCGGCTGCTGGCCAATTTGACTAAGGACGAGCCGCTGTCCTGCTGGAAGAATCGAGTTTGAGTCGTCGCTCAATGTCAGAAGAGTGGTGGCTTCTTTCAGTGGCAAGTCCTTTTCCATAGTTGGCTCCATTCCTGTCAGAAATCGCTTTTTGAAAGTCTTCATTCGATCAGCTCGCGGCTTAGTTTGCGATCCTCGATGAACATCGACGATATCATAGAGAGTCTTGGTGATGACTTTCCGAAACTGGTCGCACCAAAGAATAGCCTGGTGGTCCATACTTGTCCAGACAGTCGGTATACCGGTTGTGAAGACAGTGAAACCATGTGTTGGAGGGACCAGAGACTCGAGACTTGCATAATCTGATGGAACCACCGTGTCTAACCCACCGCCGGCGATTGAAACCAGAGTAACATGCCACAAAGGGTTGTTGTTTGCCCATTTTTGCGAATAAGCCTGACGCCAATAATCGTTGATCTCATCGTAAATTTGAACTATTTGCCCGTCAAAAGTGACAGGGGGCCGAGCATGCGGTGCCGACATTGTGATAATGGTGTTGATCGAATTCGTTTGGTAATTAGGCTGAACAAGCATAGCTCTTGCGACCACTCCGCCCATAGAGTGTCCCAAAACGATAACTGATGTCGGATCAGGGAGGTGGCCCCCTCGAGTTGCGCGTTGGGGGTCAGAGTAAAGCGACAGTATGTAGCGAACAGCTTCATTAAGGTATTCGGCTTGGTCGAGAAGCGTCTGGCCATGAAATGCTGTGATATCCTCGTTGAAATCCACGGTAAAGAAATCTAAACTCCGGACGCCGGCATCAAGAGTCCCATGATCGTGCTGAAGGCTATTGTGAAAGTAATTTGCAGCTTCGGCAGCGATTGGACGGACCTGCTTGTAGCTGCCTGCGTTTCCGGGGATGAACAAGACAGGGATGCCCAGAAGCTATCAGCGTGCGAGTTTAGTTACCAAACGAACGAGATGTTGGGCGAAAGACGCTTCGACGTACCTTGTCCGGTGGCTCTATGCCTTGTTCTCGATATAGATACAAGGAATACTTGGTTGCAAAGCGTGTATGCTCCGTATCAAACTCGGTGAAGCGCACATATGATGGGCGCATGTACGACATCCGGCAACCCTTTGGATCGAGTTGACTGGTCACAAGAGACCTTAGGATACTGATAAGAATGACGATACCCAATGCAGAAATGAGCAAAACAACGATGGAGAACCGTGGACGGGGTATGCGTCGATTCGGCGACGGAGACTGTGTCGGTGTCCTAGCGAGAGCCATGTCGGGGGTTGATGGTGCTGCAAGAGAGGTGGGCTTTAGGGCGGTGGTTTGGCGAGGCTCTTCGCGAGGCTGGCCGTTTCTGCCATTGCGATCGTTGGAGGGCTTCCAATTAAGACTACTCGGTCTTCGAGCTCGCGCGGGTGATATGCGCGTTTTTGAATTAGGATCGGGGTCGGGAACATCGGAGTCGAGGGAGGATTCGTCACCGTCGTCGGCCGACCCGGAGGAGCGCCTCTTCATGGAGAAGGCGCGTGAAGACCCGCCGCGAGCCTGAATCGAGAGGAGGCAGAAATGAATATAGAGGGAGAGGTGCTTACTGCCCAAGTGTCGAGGAGGGTCGCGGCGATCTTTAGGTTAATTGGGGCGGCTTCGGTAAACGTGGTCAGGCCAAGGCTGAGGTCAAGGTTGAGGTCGAGGTCGAGGTTGGAGGTGGAAGCTAAGATTAAAGATCAAGGACGAGCGAGCCAACGACGCTTACAATATTCGCTTGACTTGGTAGGCCGGACAGGTTTGGTAGGCAGAGCACTACGAGAGAAATCCAGCAGGGGTTTTATTTTAGTGAGGGTCGGTGAAGGCGCGATTGGAGATTTCGTAACAGCAGAAGACCCGTTTGCGACAAGATGCAACCGGGGGTTGTGGTGGTTTGACCACTTTCTAGACTCTCCAACATGGATCCAGTGCGAGGTAGCGACGAAACGAATATTCGTCCAAGCTTTTGCAACGACAAATACAATTAAATAGAAACAGCGAGAACGACAGTGGCTGCAGCCAATTTTGAGTGGTTAGCGAACGAACAATTTGATTGAAAGCAAGATGAATGTTCACAATAAGGGTAAGTTACCTACCAGCAGGTAGGTTAGTGAGCAAGTACAGAGTCGGGTACTAACTAACTATGCCGCATGCCGATTCCCCAGTCCCTTCTGAACCCAATGAATGTGGGTGGGAAATTGGATTGGATGCGTCGATGGCTTCTCCCACTCATCAGCCGAGTCGGAACCACTAAAGCGTTGTGTGTCCCCTTTTTTCCCCTTCCATGGGGGCTGGTTTTTAAGCGCCACACATTTGGAGAAATCTGTGCCATTAGCGGGAGAACCCCCAACAAGAAGCCATGGATGGAAATTGACAGGGAATTGGTCATCAATCAACTCGTCGTCCTGTCACTCACTGCATCGTGGCAGGGATTTTCTGCAGCCATTTAATTACAGGCTCGTCAAACGTTTTCTGAAGGATCATTTGTGAAGCCAAGCTAGTGTATCTACGGATACGGCTGCTCGCGTTTAAAATTATCATGTTCACAGCCGGTTACTACCGAGTCTGCTGGGCAAACCCCATTATGTCTCGACCAGCCTTTCGATTAATGCTCATAAATGGACTGGGATAGCGTCACAGACGCTTCATCCGCCCTTTGCGCTGAGAGGCTGCTTGGCCCTCAAGATAAGAGCCAACTGCGTCACTCCAAATGCACGACAGTTCACAAACTCCTCTAGCTCCGCAGCCTACCGCCAACGCCTCTCCCTCTTTAGTCCCGCGTTAGGCTGCAAGTAGTGCCTCACCGAGCCCGTCTTCCGTCTTGGCCAGTGATAGCTTCCTTGAACTCAGAACAAAGGTTGGAAAACAAGAAACTTGACATGTCTTGCCCATCGAAACTGGAACAGAGAATCGGCGCCTGTGGGTTCTTGTTCGTAGAGCCGCATCTTGAGTGGGTTTTTCTTAGTACCCAAGGCAACGTACCCAGGCACCTACTAAGCTAAGCCTTCTCCATGTGGACTCAGTACTTGTAGCTCTACAACCTATATCTAGTGAGCTACAGAGTTAACACTTTTAGTTGACTGTCAATATCGGAAGGTTGGGAACTCAATTCTTATCTCCTTCTTGAGCCATTGCTCTCGAAAGCGAAAGCCTCAGGACGTAATCCGTAGCTCCAGTGAGACTGTCTGATGCAGGCAGATCCAAGGCCAGGAGACCTCAATCGAATGTCTCCTATGACCTATCGTAATCCTTTATCTTCCTTCTGATAGCGTGAGACTCAGCATAAGTACTACAGATTCATGGCTCTATTTCGTATCTTGGTTTCTGAACCAGTCCGAAGCTGTCTAGGAGCGGGATTTTGGATATGCAGTGTCACCCTCTCCATGCAGGCACATGACGAAAAAGAAATCCCATAGGTCGAAGCTTCCGTCTGACGCAAAATCATCTCGTCGAGTGCATCTAGGATTCTAGGTGACGCACCTACGTAGCTAGGTACCTTAGATGAATTCACGGGGATTGGCAACCCGTTATAGGAATATGTGATAAATGAGGGAGTACCTTATCTTTCCATGAGCGGTTAGGTAGGTCCTCCATCCATAATCCAATTTGTATTCATGCATATGGCACCTCCCGTCATGATGAAAGATAGACGGACCAGATGAGTACTTGAGTCTGATTTCGAATTTGTTTTTTTTTGTTTTTTTTAAATCTGCGCATTTGCAAAAGAAGTTAAAGCTACGGTCTTCTCACAACCTTCAAATAGTGCCGTAATCATAGTCGCATTGAGGTCTCATCACCCTTGGCTGCGTTATTGGTATCATGTGCAAGGTCCTGCGTGAACCTCTGTATGAAAAGGTCCACATGGCAACTATAAAACAGATCGACGGACACACGGTACATGACATATTCACAATCGCCCATATCATTATGCTAACTTTCCCAGGTTCATCAGATCCAGTCCGGCCAGGTTATAGTCGACCTTTGCTCTGTTGTGAAGGAACTGGTTGAGAACAGCGTCGATGCTGGGGCAACAAGCATCGGTGGGTATCCGACCGTTCCGATCGAACAATCCATCGGCAGCAATAAATGGAGTATTCTGACTGACCTTCCCACAGATGTTCGTTTCAAAAACCAAGGACTTGATCTCGTCGAGGTGGCTGACAATGGGTCTGGCATCGCCCCTGCCAACTATCCATCAGTAGCTCTCAAGCACCATACGTCAAAGCTCTCTTCATACTCGGATATAGCTACGTTAGAGACATTTGGTTTCCGGGGTGAAGCATTAGCCTCATTATGTGCTTTGTCAATTGTGAGCATCACGACTTGCCAGCAGGGCCAAGCTCCTAAGGGGACCAAGCTCAGCTTCGAGCCATCAGGGGCCCTCAAAGGAACTGCAGTTGTTGCAGCTTCAAAAGGCACAACCGTTTCAGTTGAGCGTCTCTTCCACAACCTGCCTGTTCGTCGGCGTGAGCTTGAGCGAAACATAAAGCGAGAGTGGAATAAGGTCATCGCCCTCCTTGGACAATACGCTTGTATTCAAACCAATCTCAAATTCTCCGTGTCTCAGCAACCAAGCAAAGGGAAAAGAATTCACCTATTTTCGACCAAGGGTAATCCGACCACAAGAGAAAACATCATCAATATCTTTGGTGCAAAGACGATGACGGTCCTTGTGCCCCTCGATTTGACTCTGGAAATGCATGATTCCACAGGCGGTCCAACTTTGCAAATTGACCAAAAACACGAATCAAGCTCTAGGGATGTCCGTGTCGTGGGGCATGTTTCCCGGCCTTCTCATGGTGATGGACGCCAAACTCCAGATCGCCAGATGTTCTTTGTGAACGGGAGGCCATGTGGCTTGCCCCAATTCTCAAAGGCATTTAACGAGGTGTACAAGGCTTACAACAACTCACAAGCTCCTTTTATTCTAGCGGATATTCAGCTCGATACCCACATGTACGACGTCAATGTCAGTCCAGACAAGAGGAGTATATTGTTACATGATCAAAACATACTGCTTGATAACCTACGCACTTCCCTGGCAGCCCTTTTCGACTCGCAAGATTACTCAGTCCCGACCTCTCAGCTCTTGCCCTTTAAGAACCGCACCGAGAAGCAGTCAACTACTAACATGTCCTTCAAACCATTATCGATCACTTCTCAGAAGCCTCTGGATGATTCCCAGCCTGAAGTCGAATCAGATGGAGACAATTACGAAGGCAGCGCCAGTGACAAGGTGCCACTTGGTGCCGTAAGGAGGGTTGGCGGGTCAAAATCATTAGAGAAAAAGATTAATAGTCAAAATCTGATCAGTGGATGGGTAGAGAGGGGATCAACGTCGCGGCCAAAAGACCGAAGCGCCACAGCGTCAACTTTTGCACAGAATCAAAAACCATCCGTACGTCCTTCCATGAGGCGAGAAGAGCCAAGCCTCTTTATCCGGAGTCCCTCACTCTCTTCAGGCAGTGATGAGAATGATGCTGGGAAGCCACTCCCTGTGCGCGATTTCAACAAGCAACTGAAAGTAAACAGTGTTATGAAGACTGGCTCTTCTCCCATTAAGAGGAAATCATCAGAATTGCTTGAGACTGAGCCCCAGATTCCTGCTACGAGACCACTGAGGCGTGGACAAGTCGAGAGCTCCCACACTAGCCCGGCGAAGACGCCACGGGAAAAGACAAGATCTGAGGCCGCTACGATAGTCATTGGTGATGAGATCATACAGGATGCTGCGAGTACCCCTGATGGTCATGCCAATAATGTGGCTGTTTCTGAGGACGAAATGGAGGTTGACGATCCAAAGCCATCTTTCGGAAGGGGCCTGACACAGATATACGCAGCTGGCAGCGGCGCGACAGAAAGGGAGATATCTTTTCGTAAGGAGAGAGCGGGCAAGGGTGATGAAATTTCCGATTCTGAAGGCACAGATACAAACAGCGACAGCGACACATCCAATGCGAACAAGGATGGGAAAGCTGTCAGTGAGCCAGCTATTCCGGTTGCTGGGAGCGATCGACTAGAAAAACAGACGGAAACAAGGGACTTGTCTGATATTACGCCCTTCACATTTGCGGTTGAACCTGCCACAATGGATCATAAGACTCAATCTCTCAAGTCTACTGTACGGAAGAAAGAGTCTACGGCCCAACTACTACAACACCTACGAACGGACGAAAGTCTCATCAAGCTGGTGTTGGAATCATGGAAGAATAACCTCAGTCCAAGTCAAGACTGTACGACTGTCAATGAAGAAGTGACAGATCTTGCGGCAGCCAATGCGGAAGAGAAATTGTCACTTACTATAGCTCGCAAGGATTTTCTAAAAATGAAAATAGCCGGGCAATTTAACATGGGTTTCATCATCGCAACACGTCCCGCGAGCACCAAATCGGAGGAAGACATCGAGGTAGCTCAGAAGGACGAGTTGTTTATCATTGACCAACACGCAACAGATGAGAAGTATAACTTTGAGAGATTGCAAGAGATCCAGA